ATAAAAATCTAGGCTTTAAAAAACTCTTCTATCATCTTATGGAATAGATCAGAGGTCTTCAAACTTGGCAACTTGAAGACTTGTGGACTTCAACTTCCAGAATTCTGGGAGTTGAAGTCCACAAGTCTTCAAGTTGCTAAGTTTGGGGACCCCTGGTATAGATAATCATTTCTCAACTTTGGCAACTAAGATAGCTGGATCTCAACACCTAATTCTAGGCATTGAGTTATCAAAGTTGAGAAACACTGGTCTATATTCCACAGTTCAATATGATGGCCTTTCTTTAGACAATCAGACTTGTTGACAGTATGGGGTGGCCAGAGGAAGCTTTTCAGCCCTTTTCTTAGACTAGAGCTAAAAGCTACAGTTTTAGCTCAGTTTATGGGAACAGCTTCCATTACAGTTGGAATTCTGAATATCATAGTCCTGTAGTTTAAGAAAGCAGGAAGTTTCTTCTAGGATAAGATAAAAGTTAGGAAGAATGAACGCCCAATTTCATTCCTAATGTAACAAGCTATTGGAATATGAGAATGGATTATACGAATGTTGCAGGGTAAAGGAAACTATCATATTTATTGAATATTAGTGGGGCCAGTGTAAGCACAGAGCATTTGAATTCTTAAAAATAAAGTATATAGCAAAATGTTCTCCTTGCTTCTTCCATTGTACAAGAACAAATACAACATTCTTCCCTCCATACATTTTTAGCCCTAATAAATTTCATAACCTTTTTCAGATGGACGGACATTTTTTTCTAGAAAATAAATATAATTTTCTCACCTTTCCCAGTTCGTACTCTGCAGGTCCAGGCATTTTGTCAGTTTTCTGGTCTTTGAGTCGGCCTGCCATGGTATATTTTGGTGCACTCTTTTTGTAGATCTCTACACTGGGCTTGTTATATGCTGCTGGACCTGGGGTCTAGAAAGGAAAAACCACACAATGCTCCAAGGCGAAAAGCAACTTAGATAGCTCATATATTGTCTTCTAGAAAAACTGGACAGCTCATTACACATTTCATGAATCATTGTTATGTGCACAGTCAGGAATTATTTTGTTCCTTCTGCTTTTTATTAATTTAAATAATAATATTCTTATCTAGCCTTCTTTGATTGAATACAGCTTTTCTACCAATCTGATAGTATTGGGGAAAGTTCCAGATAGCTGCAGACTAAGGCAATGAAGGCTTCCTTCTTTCAGCCTCCCTTGCACTTACAGGTATCCTGCTTAACAACCCACACATATGAACACAACTAGGACTGTCTGGATTTGCTGTTGGTAAGTGATGCAATCCTTGACATTGCTCTTTTTTTTTTTTTTAATAAAAAAAAAATTTTGTTACATAAACAACACATGCCCACAACAGTGGGGGGAAAAATCAAAACACAAAAAAGACAAAAAACAAGGCAGAGAAAACAAAAACAAAAAACAAGTATATGTTATAAAAAAGTATATCAGCTGGTTACAACATGTTTTTGTGCATCTCTT